CGTCCGATTGCACTAGCACCATCATCCATAGCTTTATTATAAAAATCTATTTTTGCTTGTGGTAATAAGTGATTTGGTGTATAAAAATGTTTTTTTTCTCTTTCCAGTTATATGTACATCAAGTGAATTTTGGAGAGAAAATAATTTACCTTGTAAAAATCTTGGGACATTTTGTCGTAAATTACCATTTAGTCAAAGATGCTGTGATACAACCGTATGTGATTTGAAAGCACCCTTTTCTGGTACATGTGTACGATGTTTAGATAAAGGCAGATTTTGTTTAAAAAGTGGTGAATGTTGCGATAAATATTGCTTTTTCTTTAGATGTCGTTAATTGTAATAAAGAAATAACTTGTAATTTGATAAACAAACCAAGGTTTTCACGTAAATATATATATATATATATATATACACTTTACCATTGTTCGTTTTGTTCATTTAATGCATATATCACTGTGGATAAATGGAGAAATAACAGCCCTGTAAACTGGTTTACAAAATATTTGGGCGCCTATTCACCATGAAATCCGTAGACAGATTTTAACACAAAGACTTGATAACAATTAAAATCTTGGAAAATATGGAATACCATAAGAATACTGTAATATCATAGAAAGTAAAACACTCTATGATGATTCTTAAACACTGAATCATAATCTGTTGATATTATTAAGATGTACATCGCACTACACATTATTAACTAAATATAGCTGGTGAAACGAGAGTATCAGTACTTCACAATACTTCGCCAAAAATTCAACATGAGACAAGTTTCGAAGTTTAGGGGAGTGCAAAAAGGCTGGTCAAAGCGAGGAATTAATGTTGTTGCAATTATTAAAATAAACGGAAACATCAAAATGCAAATTTAAATGAATGTGTTGTGAGATGTCATAATAAAAAAATAACATTAAATTGATTGAACTAAACTACTCGTCTGTATTAAGTAGTAAGAAACAAAAGGAAAAAGAATGAAGTTATTTGGTAATCAACAAAAATTAAAGTCACATTATTTAATAAATTATGACAACAAAGTGCAGATTATTAGCAAAACTAAACAATACGGAGCAGACACTGAGTGGGTTGTATCAAGTTGAATTAGAATTTAGTTAAATTAGTTGATACAACATAAATATGTGGGCGGAGAAGTTGACATTAGTACAATGTTACTTCTGTATTGATTTATGTGGGTATATAACTGAGAAATGAAATGATAGATAGATGATCAAAATATAACGTCAACGAGATTAACAAATGTTATTTATTTAGGAGTGAGACAAACACCAAGTAATTTGACAAGTTGTATGGAAAAATATAGTATGCAGACATCATGTATATCAATTTAGTTAACCGATGCAGTAAAATACCACTTGATTTATTTTTTATTTAAATACATAAACATTAATATAGGGAGGTACTGTATACGTGTACGTCACACTTCGATTTCTTTAAAGGCTGTAGTACTTCCCGGGTGCCCAAAATGAAGCAGGTGGTTTTCTTGGGGGGACACTCCTCGAGCCTTTGATCTGAAGGTTTAATCCACAAGGCAGTGGAGCAACGTCAGGAGATGAAGTCCAATGGTAATCGATGAACAATAATAAATTCATACGCCATTTGTTCCCTCAGGATACTGGGACCCATGTGCACTATTGGTTTGGAATCAGGATTTATCAGCTCCTCTAAGTGAATTCTCCATATCCACCAACCTGGGTAAAACATCGGACATTCGCTTTTCGTCCTCTCAATTGCGTAAACAACACTTACGCCTCTATATGGCAGTGATTGAGACTTCTATGACAGTGGCTGTATACGCGTGGTCATATGAGAGCATTTCGAGAGGGAGAGCTAACTCTCCTCACCCTCGACGTACCATGACATCTGGGTGCCTACCACTTGATAACTTAATTGGAATGGTTATATCAGCAGCCTTTAAAAGGAAAATCCGGTCTGTCTAATTGGCAATAAGTGTTGTTTTGAAGCTTGAACGGCTAAACGCTTGGTAGTTTTTTGAAATATTCCTTAGTGCGTAGTAGATAAGGGACGACAATTGCTTAATACCTTACTCATTATCTATTCTAAATAGACAAGCTAACATAAAACTTTTCAAGGTCTTCGCTATATAATTCTTTCTACCAACTGAACATTGTTTAGAAAGTATAATGTGGTACTCAGAAAGTGTAAATAATATATTTGTACTAGATATCTTGATCTACTTATAGTAATCAATCGTAAAGACAAGTTTAAAATAATTAATTTTTATCAGGATGGGGATTTGTGGAGATTGTAGTAATTTGAACAGTTGAATTCATGATTTGGTCTAAGCTATACCACTAATGAAAACCTAGAAGCACTGAATGGACGTTTCGTTCTAGTTAAGGACTCTTCAGTGTTCTAGAGGTTAAGCGTTCGCTCATGAGACCAAATGTCCTAAGTTCGATTACCGCGTGCCGGATCGTGGATGCGCAAGACTGAGTCGTCCCATACTAGGACGAAACGGCCGCTCAGTACTTCCAACTTTTCAGAGGTGGTCTAGCTTAGATCGACTCATGAATTTAACGGTTCAAATTAATTTTTGGAATGTTATAAATGAAACATAACTTCTTGTGATTTTTGAATAAAAGTTAGTTATGTAGACTATCATCAGTAAGCTACCTTATTCATAATATGTGGATTAATCAAAAGTATAAGTATTTTTCTTCTTTAATAATATAATTAACTTTCAATAAATTTTACTCCTAATGATAAACAATTCAGATTTACATTAATAATAGGTAACATTTCAGGTGAGACTATAATTTATGGACGAACCGATCAGGTATAAGATAATATGTCTCAGATTTTGGCGCGAGATTCATTCATTGGGTCAAATAAAGTTTTGACATTATATATGATGTCAATTCGTAATGAAAATCTTAAATCTAATTCATAACCTTAACCATCAATTGTAAATCATAATTCTGTTTCCTCGCACTTTTTTATAATCCTCATTTGGTCCTGGTATTAGGTGGATACCTTTAGAGTCACTCAGTGTCGCTCAAATGTCATCCATAAATTACAGTCTCACCACATTTCAAATATGTGACTTGAAGGAATTTTTTGATAAATAGTTCAATTTGATGTAAAGTTCTGAAAAGAATATAATTCAATTTTCAATAGTTAAGATCATGAGTCAGTTGAAGCTAGACCACCATGGAAAACCCGGAACTACTGGATGGTCGCTTCATCTTATTGTGGGACTCCTCAACAGTACGCATCGACGACCCCGCCTCGCGAATTTGAAACCAGGACCTATCAGTCTCGCGCGTGAGCACTTAACTACTAGACCACTGAACCGGCATCCAATGGTGTTAATGTGTAACTTCAACTAATCCACAAAGTTGAGCTACACATCCACCATTGTCATCAGTGAGTTACTATCTCACAACTGACGCGGTTGAACTCCACTGGTCACTGCTTCTCATTAGAACTCCAGGATATACATTTACTCATGATCTCATCTATTGAAATTACTAAAATCTCCACAAAACCCCTTCTAATACTAATTTAATTTTGTTCAGATTAATAAATCGGCTTAGAAACAATATATCATTTGTATGATATCCAAATTTTCACAAAGGCCAATATGTATATTTCTAGATCATTATCTTTATATAAAATATATGTTATTTGAACTCTTAGGAGTGTATGATGTTATTAGTGGGTTTTTTAAAAAAAATTTACCTTCAGTAATTGAATTAACGATCACTGATTTACTTTAACACATTCAACTACTTTTCAATCCTTGCTCATTTTTACTATTTTTCAAATTTAATTGATCCAAAATACTACAATTTTTCAACTAGAACTGGAAAAGAAGGCCCAGGACAGAGTGGGTTAGAGAATACTGTTCGGCGGCCTTTACTCCATTGGAAGTAACAGACGTAAGTAAGTAAGTAAGTAAGTAAGTAAGTAAGTAAGTAAGTAAGTAAGTAAGTAAGTAAGTAAGTAAGTTAGTTAGTTAGTTAGTTAGTTAGTTAGTTAGTTAGTTGGTTAGTAAGCAAGTAAGTAAGGAAGTGAGTAATTTAGTTAGTTAGTTAGTTGGTTAGTAAGCAAGTAAGTAAAGAAGTCAATAATTTAGTTAGTAAGTTAGTAAGTAAGTAAGTAAATAGGTAAGTAAGTATCACAATTTTTCAATATATAACCACAAAAAGTTCAATTTCGAGTTAACCACTCAAGTTACGAATTTAAACGTGTTTATTCCAACATGTTAATACAAACTTTGTTTTTGTTACCAGATTTGAAAGTTCAAAGCTCACTACAGTGCGGATAAAGATTATTGAAAACTCTTAAACTAACATTAGATACTTCAAAGTTTTTAATGATTCTCAAGTTAATATCATTTAATGATTTAAACTAATTTCAAACTAGAAAAATGTATACAAATCGTTATTTTTAGTATTTTACCAAGGTAAGTCACTTAACAGATAAGGAGTTATCAATCTGTAAAGCTTTTGTTTTGATCGTACATACTCTTAACTACATATGTATGTAGACTGTATATAATTTATACAATACTAAATGATGTTAATGTTAGACACTAGCACCATTGGATGCCGGTTTAGTGGTTCAGTAGGTTAAGCGTTCGCGCTCAGGACTGAGGGACCTAGGTTCTAACCCCGTGGGCAGGATCGTGGATGTGGACTGCTGAAGAGTCCCAAAATAGAACGAAACGGCCGTCCAGTGTTTCCAGGTTTCCAGCGGTGGTCTAACATCAATCGGTTCACGATCTCAATCATAAACAGAACATATTTGATTGTCACAATACAGATGTATATATATATAATATAAGTCAACATAATTTAAAATAAATAAAAACAAATATTTCATTTAACAGTATAAAAATATTAATAACTGAATGTTTTATCTATTTTCATATTAAATAGATTTGAACAAGTATGTAAATTATTACGCTACTGTCTTTAAATTGTTGCTTAGTCAATGGAGGGAGGGGAATGTAACATAATTTAATCAATTTCCATACTATGTGCAACAACTTCACGCCATATATCTTGTACTGTAAGTGGATAGAATTCATTATAGAATGATACTAAGAATATAGAGTCTGCAAGTAAACCTTCTTCTTTTGCAGGTTTCAAGTTAAAATAACTATGTCCATCTTCAAATCGCAATCTTGGTATACCTAAATTTTGTGCTAAAATTCCCGTTACATAAACGTCATCTATCCATATAGGTGGTTGAAACATTGAACACCAGTATAAGTAGGGAGCCAGTTTCATATCCATGATATATCCAAAGCCTTCACAATATGTTGGAAATATTTTTTCGGGATATTCTTTTTCACTTATTTGCCACTTGGAATGTTTTACACTGTTTGGTCGTACAACTTTAACATTACTTGTAGCAGTACAGTAGAATAAACCCTTTAGGTCGTTATGTTTTAATTCTAAGTAGCGTGTCAAATGAAATATATCGACAAAGGTGTCATCATCAACTTTGACTAAAAATGGCACATTGTTACAGTAACCTTCACTAATCCACTCCATAATGGTTATATGTTTCCTCGTCATATTGTAGTAATCTTCCAGAAATGATCGTTGAACAATATCACTATAATCAAAAGAAGAATAGATTTGATAGAGATGTACGCCTGAATAAAGCTAAAGTATTAAGGAAAGAAGAGATAGTCCAAAATAAACGAGGGAAGATTGAGAAAAAGGTAATTAATAACAATCTTTGAGTTTTAACAATTACTGCATGTGAAATGAACATCAGTAACGTTTAAATACTGGAGATTTTGTGGAATAGAATAAAATAATGAAACTGATTTAATTTTTAAATGATCCATCAGTAACAGTAATGAATGAAAATACCTAATGACCATACATCATGTACTTTCAAGGATTTCGATTTCAGGTAATTAACCTTCTGAATTCTTAATGTCACTTTTTTAATTTCTAAATTTACTTCACTGGATCATACTCAAATAACATCTTCAAACCCTGATCTTTCCAATTACTGCTTATGCTTTTACTACCTCTACCACAATGAGATTTGAATCGACAATCGTATTGCTGTGTTAATGTGGTATGGCAACTCAAACCGATGTACGTACGTATAAAGTTATACGTTGTTGCTGACTGACTGATTGTTTAAGAGGAAGCACTTAAATGAAATCATGAAAATCGGGAAACCGTTTTTTGAGGAAATCACTTTATATATATCATATATGTGTTTACTAATCATCTAGTCTTTTATAAATTTAAATTGTATTGTAGTGAACAAGAATATAGGCGTGAACAACCAATTGTGTTATAGTACATTACATAATATCTCGGTAAAATTTGAGAACCATGCAGTAAATTCTTTATTTGAAAAATGTCAGTCAATCATCTCAGACTTGGCTATTCTTTCGTTTCTACACCAATCATTCTCTGTTCTCATCCTCTTCTATTCGATCTTCTTAACCTTCTGCCACCAGACATTTCACTTTCTATTGGTGATACATACTACTTATATCTGTCGACATCAGTAACACATACTACAGTATGCCTTCATTTGAATTATTATATATTTGAGTAACTTGTATCACCTATAAAACACAGTTAAAATAACTGTAGAAGTTCATATTCGGTTTTATATTATAAATATCCAATTTTAGATATTCAACATCTTAGTTTGTTGACTCAGTATCATTTACGTGTGCAAAGTTTACAACATAAATTTGTATTTTGTCTGTAAATATGGACATGTTCAGACTTTAAATCACAAGATTCTTACCTTATACTGTTGAATACTTAATAATAGTTCACTTTTCAACGAAGACATACATACATGATTACGTAAAGTTTAATTCATTTTGAAGATAATATTTACCAACCCATAGTGACTGATATCGAAAATGTAAAATTCGTAACTAAATACTCAACAATCTGAAGACATAGATTAAGCTCTAAAAGGCGAAGATCATGAGTTTGTCCCGTATGTAGTTGTAGGTGTACATAAGTAAGGGCTTCAAAATCAGAATGAAACAATTGTTAGATTTTTGAAGATAGTTGACAGGAAAGCCTGCAGTTAAGTTTTGTATTTATCAGAAATCTTAATCAAGATCTACCTACAATTTTCAGGGAACATATACTTCATATATAGTTGAATGTTAAGTCATATAGATTAGTAGTTACGTAACATAATTCAATCAGTAATAAAGGATTAAACAAAAAGAAAGAAAATAGTCACTGCTCACTGATTAATCAAATGAAAACATTAAAGTTGTATAAGAGCTCATTGTAGTCCAAATAGCCTAAAATGAACTACCTGCCTGATGTATGACTGAATTATAATATACATTTAATTGATACCTTGAAATATTAATTTCATGAAGAATCGTCAACTTATTATTTACTTGGTTTGATGTTTAGGAGTTTGTGTCTTAATTTTCCACAACCTTAATTAAACAAAATAGGTTTCATTTCAAACTGGATTATAGTGTACAAATAAACATGTCACGTGACCAGAGTAGTAGTAAACAGTAATTTTTTTTCAAGTACTATTTGTATATAATCTGTCTGGTTAGTTATTATTACTACAGTCAGGATAAATCACTGATTAAATTGTTACTATGCAGTAATATAATTTACATTAAATAATTTTTTCAGATTACATGTAATCTTAATTAATTAAGAAATTCTATTAGTTATTAAGTTAAATGAATTAATATTGAAATTCATAGTATCGGGTTTGAAAGGTATGATCAAATCAGAGAATATCTTGAAAATGACTTTCATATACATTCGCATTTACCCCCAAATGCCGTGGTACGACGGGTTGGTGGACATGGAGAGTCCACCTAGGGGAGTTGGAAAACCCTCATTCCAAACCAATGGTGCACATTGGCTCCAGTATCCTGAGGGAATAAATGGCGTATGAACCAACTGTTCGTCACCGGCTACCATGGGACTGCATCTCCTTACGATGCTTCACTGCCTTGTGGATCAGACCTTTAAGTCGAAAGATCCGGGCGTGGCCACATCACAGCACACACACAAATCAGGTGAATCGTGTAGTGCCTTTTTGTACCAATATTTATGTGTTCAAATAAATAAACTCAACACTCTGGAATGAATCCATGAATTTTTAAACATGACCAATATAAATAACATAAAAAGACAACAGACAAACTAGTATTATAATGAACTAACCCATGAATTTTTTCTTCTTCTTCAATTAATTTCTGTTCATTAGAATCATTTGATAAACCCATAAAAAATAAAACACCAATTTTACGATTATTTACACGATTTAATGATCCCCATGTTCCACGAATTAAATCACGTTTTTGACGATGATTTGGATGAGTATGTACAATTAATAAAATCCATAAATTTGTTTGTTTTATACAAAAATTTGATTGATTAAAAATAAAATTACTATTTTCAATAAGTATAGGTATAGATTCATTATTTTTAGCGCATAAATTAAATACATTTTTTATATTATGAAAATTTGAATTTTTCATATGTAATTTTAATTTTCTTTTAATTGTTATTGGCCATTTTGATAAAGTGTTTAATAAATCTTTTTTTGTTTTAATAAATTCAATTTTTGGTTTCATTTTTAAAATAGATTTCATTGAAACATTATTCATTAAAATAATAATAATAATAATGATAAGCAATGAATGAAATATATTTGATTTAGACATTACTATGGTGTTAATAATTAATAGATTTAAAATGTGTACTGTTATACATTTGTGCATTATTGATTTTTCGTTGGCATGGTTACTATAAACATATTGAAATAATAACACTACCACATGTATCAAAGTTCAATTTATCGTCTAAGTAATCACATATATTTCAGTTCATTTTATGTATATGCATTGATAACCCCATAGTTTAATAATGAGATTATATATAAAGTAAAAAAGAGTATATAGACAAGCTTTTATAAGAAAAACATTATGTTTACAAAATTCAACTATCAATATCTATGATCTTTTGGTGAACATGATATTTAGAAAAGTATGGAAAAAACATTGTAAATAAAATTATTGACTAAGGAGATATATTACAGAATCCATTAGTGAAATAATCTATTTAATGAATGAAACTTTTCATACTCTCGATTCGTTTAACTCACAAATTCTATTTTTGGAGGTGGGTGGGTGGTAGAGTAGTTTTGTTTATGCTTACTGTATAGGAAAAGTACTATTCAGTAGTGTATTTGATGTAGATTTGATTTGATAGATTATGATTTAAATTATACAGTCAAAAATTATTCAGTTATGGTTATGGTATTTATTTGATTGCATAGTGACTTGTTGTAATATTATAATGAACGAGAACATAAGTGAGGACAGTCGAATGTATTTCAAATGTCTTGCAAAAACTTACAGAATCACTTAGTAAAATCTGAAAAGTTTACAGTAAGTTCTTCATTTACAAAATATCAATCAATTGTCTTAAACTTGATTGTACATTTTTCAAACATCAGTCAATCGTCTCAGACTTCATTGTTCCTGTATTTCCATATCAATTGTGTTCTAGATCTTTCTTTCTCAGCCATCTGCTGCTAGACATTCTAGTCCTGACTGTTGTTATATACTACTCATATCGATATAAGTAGCATTAAGAAACGTAATATTGATTTCGTTTATTTCAGAGTATACATTTAACAATTTTGTAGGATTTAATCATCACTGTTATTCTTTAAAAGTTCGCTTAAATAGTCTCCATCACTTATATGATAGAGACATGTGTTAACTAACAAACTGATGTTGACTAGTTTGATTTTGTTTCGATGAGGTAATGGTGGGTAAATATAAATTTCCACACTTTAGTATGATTATCATTTTTGACCACTCAGATGGTAGATACTTTTAGTGAAATTGAATTCCCTAAGTTGAATGGTTTCCTAATCCTGGATATTTTCCCTTCTATTTGGGGAGTATCATTAACACCACCATGAAAAACACCTACGTTTACGTAATTTGAAGAATTATAGGACCCATAGATAACGTTTACTAGAGAATTGCACAGATAGAATTTACGAAGAAATAATGGAAATACTCAGAAGAATGAACAGATATACCAATAAAGTAACAAGTTATAATGATAAGTATATTCATATTTGTGGTACATATTTTTAGTCGAGCACTAATTATTAAGTCGCAATGTTACCACCAGCCTAAGTGACTAGGATAGTTGAATTATTAAATGATCAGAGGTAATCAATCTACATCGACGCTAATGATGAGGAATGAACTTGTAAAGTGAGACAAACACTTTATTTGTCTTTGAGATTCCACCAGCCATGGTGGTTTGGTTTCGAACGAAATCTCGGCACGAATTCAGAAAACCCGGTTGGATTTCACCAACTTACATCACCTGTGGCGTAGGTGAGATATCTGTTTTCTAATGAAGAAACAAGTTAACTGCCTAGCAGTTTTGTCCTTTTAATTATTGAGTGCGAGACACAGCGTTTAAGATTGGAAGACATTCTTGAGTAACCAGTATTTAATCACAGGTGGCATCAGACCATTGCTCGCGAATATTGAGATCACCAAGGAAGTTAGATGTAGGGAATTAGATAAAGACGTTTAACTAACTAATTAGGTAGTGGATATTTATCGACTGAAATGTTTGGGATATCTATTATGTAATGACTGACCTCGATGGACGATGCTGAGTGGTGTAAGAGTAGGTTGGACGAAAGCTGGGGGTGCCCAAATCAAGAGGTAACATCAGTTCGTGAAGCCATTCACTGTTGTACGGGGCAGTGTTTGTAGATGCAGACTACGTGGTTAGATATGCTAAGTTACATGACTTAAAATCGTTTTCAGAGGCGTATATGTTTTTACTTTTTGTCTTCCTTTTGTTCCGAAATTTGTAAATTATCTCAATTGTCTTGTTTATCCCATAAATCCACATTTTCGTCTCGTATCACATCTTCATTGGATAGTATTTTCTACTAACACTGATACCATTACTATATATACTACTTTGGAATTCCATTATGCTGATATAATGTGTCAACTTGAACCGATTCACTGATACTTCAGGTTCTACATTGAACATAACTGATAATTGACTGACAAGTAATCGACCAAAACATCTGAACAAAGTTTTCATACTGGTTGACTGTTATCAACCAGACTTATCTTTAAGTTTACAGAAACCATAAATAAAATGAATTACTATAAAATATTGGTTATTTTAGAATGCATACGTTATAAGACTAGACAATGATTGAACTGAATAAATCAATGATTATTTAATAAATTTAGTGACTAGTATAATCAACACAACAGAAAATATTCATTTTCAAAGAAATATTCTATAGATCAATTTTAGTTTTCAATCTATCATTGTATTAGGTTGTAGATAATTATGCCCCAAAAAAAGATTTTTTTTCACTCTTTTCTAATTTGTTTGTAATTAGTTTCATTTCAATGATTATTACTTTATTGATTATTTCATAGTTGATAAGTTAATTAGTAATATCATAATAATATTAAAGAATTTAAATGATTTTTCATTAAGATTAGTTATGTTTAAAGTAGAAGTACTAAAACTAAAGCTTGAAGGCTATATATGACCTGATGTCAGATATCGTATGATGTTAGTGATCATTTAGTGATATGTATATAAAGTTTTTAAAGTGAGATAATTTAAAATTAATGAAGGGAGATATAGTAATTTTAGTAATAAAACTGTCATAAATCTTTTCATAAATAATGACAATAAGTCCGGTAACACAGTTTTTTGATTATACAAATGATCGATAAATCACGTAATTTTCTCTCTTCCCTAAATCTACCAATCAGGTTAACAGGAAGTCACTTAAGTACCTTGTGTTATTTTTTTATTATGGTATTATATAAAGAAAGACATGATTATGATGCACCATAAATAATCGATATCATTAAATTATAATTACGATGGATATGGTATATCTTAATAACAGGTTTATAGTTAATTAACAGTAATATGTGTAGAGCCAGTGCGTCAAATAAAAACTTTGAAAATTATTTTTGGAAGTCAAGTTCCTTTTGCTGTCAAACCAGCTAAGGAAAATTAACAAACATTTTCATACATGAAATTCAGTATGTCGAAATAGTGGATATCAACTGACACATACAAAATTGAAAGTTAGTTTTACCCATTACACAATCAAAATGATTCTTAATTACTACACGTATATTCCCACTTATTTTATTGATAGAATAACCTTCTTGACATTAATCAATACTTAAATAATTAGAACAACACAATGGGAATTTTCAATTTACTTAAATAATTAACAGTATAGGGGCTGTGGAGATTATTAAGTTTTTGATTGAGATTATGAACCGGTTGATATTAGACCACCGTTGAAAACCTGGAAGCACTGGATGGCCGTTTTGTCCTATTTCGGGACTCCTCAACAGTGCTCACCAACGATCCCGCAAACGGGATTCGAACCCGGGGCTCAACCTTCTGGACTACTGTGTTAGACACTAGCACCATTGGATGCCGGCTCAGTGGTTTAGAGGTTCGGCGTTCGCACGCGAGACAGAAGATTCTGGGTTTGAATCCCGTTTGCGGGATCGTAGATGCGCACTGCTGAGGAGTTCTATATTAGCATGAAACAGCCGTTCAATGCTTACAGGTTTTCAACGGTGGTCTTACATCAATCGACTCATGATCTCAATCAAAAACTTAATTAGATGTTTGCTTTATTGATAAATACTGAATGTTATATTTTTAATTATAAAGTATTTTGGCATTTAGTATGTACTGTAACACATGACGTTGTATTTGTGTTGATGTCTTATATTATTATAAGTGGTTTTTCCATCAAAATTTTGAAGCTTCACAATTTCCAATTACAAATAATAGTTTCTATTTTTTAACTCTGATTAGATTCATAATCTTTTATTATGTCTAAAGAAAGAGACTTGATAAAGGTTTCTGATTTATTTTATTAGTGTAACATACAAATTGATTTATACTTTTCTTGTGAACATCACATGAGAAACATTCCCTTTTTTATTTCATTATATTATATATGAATTAATTTTAGTTTAAACAGGTAGAACTTATTAGACAAATGTACTTTTCGAATAAAGTGAATCTTAAAATCATTTTATATTTAAATTGATGTCATGAATGGATAAATTTTAGGCCACTATTGAGAATCTGAAAGCACTGGACGGTCGTTTCATCCTAGTATGAGACTCCTCGTCAGTGACACAGGCAGGAATCGAATTCAGAACCTTCGGTCTCGCGCGATAACACTTAATCTTTACACCATTGAGCTAGCATCCAACGGTGTTAATATCTAACCGTCTTAACCGCGTCTGTTGTGAGGCAATCTCTGCAACCCCATACTGATAGTTTTATATTGTTTGTTCGAGTCTTCCCGTAGATGTTTAGGACTGAAATTCATCAGACTCTAATTGGAATATGTGCATGATTTGTGGATTGCCTCGATTCACAAGCATTATAAATAAAGATGGATAGTGGTTAGCAG